TGCGGCCCCAGAGCAGTTCTGGCCACTGGCGTGTTCCCGGAGACATGCGAGAGCGTGCCCAGGGCAGCTGTGCCGTGCAAACGCCGCATGCCTCGGCTTCTGTTCCTTGGCTGTGGCCAGGGGGAACCAGGAGGCTGAGCCCCCAGCCCTCCTACAGTGTACGAGACCCCCCTTCCCTGCTGCCTCCAGCCGCCTGAGCTGTCCCAGGGTCCGCAGCCGGGCTTCCCGAGGAGGGGTCAGGCCTTGAGGCTTCCCTCGCAGAGCAGAATGTTTTCCCATACCCCCTGGTTCCAGCCCTGGAGGTTTGTTTCCGAGCCCCCCGGATGTTTTTGGGTCTCTGGGGAACGCTGCTTTGCTTTTTCCAGCTGTGAAGGCAGAAGTCCCCCCACCCCGGCGCGGGCTGAGCGTGCTTTGTGTACTGTCTGTGCAGGTCTTGGACCCCGAGCTGGAGGTGGCAGATCTTGCATTCCCCCCTTCGACCATTTCTGCCTCTTCTCTCAAAATGCAGGTGAGTGGAGCGGGGAGGAGGGGGGACACCCCTGGAGGCTGGCGGCCCCCCCCGGGACCCCGCTGTTTCCTGGGCAGGGAGCGGACAGGGGTGATTTCAGAGGCAGACACCGAACGTCTGGGCACTTGGCAAACCCCCCGGAGCTGCGAGAGCTCCCTGTGCCCCTGTGTGCAGCGTCGGGGCAGGCAGAGCAGGGAATAACAGCCAGTCCAGTCTGACACGTCCCTTTTTCCCTGGAATCTCTGCCAAATTCCCTGCCCTGCTCAGCAGAAGCTGGCCCTGACACGTGGTTTGATCCCCTCACCTGTGCTGGGTGGAAATTCCTGCCCGCGAGAGATGGCTCCTCTGCACCCTCCACCTGATCGTGCCATGACCACAACGTGACCACGCCGTGACCATGTCGTGACCACGCTGTCCTTCCATCTTTGCAGGATAAGGAGATCCGGGCCGTCTTCCTCCGCTTGTTTGCACAGCTGCTTCAGGGTTATCGCTGGTGTCTGCACATCATCCGCATCCATCCTGAGCCCGTCATCCGATTCCATAAGGTGAGGCGCCGGCACGGGCCACGTGGGACCCAGCACCTGAAGGGGAAGGGAGGAACCCCCCGGCCAGTGCCGCTGGCTGACGGTTGCGCTCTCCCCTCGTGCAGGCAGCCTTCCTCGGGCAGAGGGGGCTGACGGAGGACGACTTCCTCACCAAGGTGCTGGAGGGCATGGCGTTCGCTGGCTTCGTCACCGAGCGGGGGGCCCCGTACCGCTCCATCGACCTGTTCGACGAGGTGAGGGGCAGTTTGGGAGCAGCATCCCCCGGCCCGGCTGTGCTGTGCATCCTTGCTCCGCTCAACGCTCCCTGAGCCGGGGATCAGCTGTGAAGATGGGGATGTGCTGGGGGACAGAGCTGGGGATCAGCCGTGAGGATGGGGATGTACTGGGGGACAGAGCTGGGGATCAGCCCTGGGGATGGGGATGCACTGGGGGACAGAGCCGGGGATCAGCCGTGAGGGTGGGGGTGTACTGGGGGACGGATCCTGCCCCACAGGCAGCTGCTCCTCTCACCCGTCTCTTCCTTCTCCCAGCTCGTGGCTTACGAAGTGAAGCGCATGCGTGCAGAAGAGGGGAACAAGCAGAAAATACTGAGGCACATCAAGGAGCTGGCGGAGAAACTTTACAAAAACGTGAGTCCTGGAGGCCTGAGCTCTCGGAGCTGGGTGCGGGGCAGGGAGAGCCGGGGTCGGAGCCCTGGTCAGTCTGTCCCCAGGGCCCTGGGTTTCTGGGGTTGTAGATACTGTCTGGGAGAGTGGCCACAGAGCAGCAGAGGGGGGTGAAGGATGCTCCAGCCCTGGGAGAGGGACGTGTGATACCCGCACGCCTGAAAAGAAATTGTGTTGGCTCCAGGAGAACCCGTACCCTGCGGTGACCATGCACAAGGTGCAGAAGCCTACGGAAGGTTGTCACCTGCGCCTCCACCAGAAGCCTTTTCCCCGTTTGGATGAGGGGACAGTGCAGTGGATCATCGACCAGGCCACCGCCAAGCTGCAGACGGCTCCTCCAGCCGTGAAGGTGGAGAAGAAATGCATGGTGCCGTCGGGACCCCCCATCGGTACGTGTGCGCCGAGGGTCCTTCCCCACGGTGAGACCCCTGCTCTGGAGGAGCTTTACCATGCCATGGCTGGCTGCCTTTCACGCCACGGCACATCTGAGGGTCCCACATGGACAAAGTGTGCTGCAGGGGGCTGGATGGGCTTGCAGGTCCCTTCCAACCCAAACCATCCAGTGATTCTGTAATTCTATGATCCCTCCCCACCCCGGTGTGAAAACCCTGCCCAGATGGAACTAACGGGCAATTCTGTCCCCAGCTGCCATCATGGAGCGCAACGGCAACGCCCTGGCCAACAGCGCCCGGCGTCTGGAGGTGGTCAGGAACTGCATCTCCTACGTCTTCGAGAACAAGATGCTAGAAGCCAAAAAGGTGATGGGGAGCTTTCGAGGCAGGGAGGAGAAGGGCTGTCATAGCAGGCTGTGAGGACATCCCTGCCCGTGTCCCGGTCCCTGCTGCCCAGCTCTGTTCCAGTACGGTCACATGTTCTCGTCTCCACGCTGTCCCTCCTCGTGTCCCAGGGTTTTTGGCTGACGGCTCCGCTGCACCAGCTTGGTGTTATTTTTGCGTCCCCCAGTGCCCCTCGGGGTCTGTCGCATGGGGATAACCGGGCTGGGGTCCTCCCTGCCTGGCTGGGCAGGGACATCCCGGAGCCCCCGCTGCCCAGACGGGGGGTTTGGCTCTGGTTTGCCTCTGCGGATGAGCCGTCTGTGAACACCCTGGTGTCAGCCGGCACAGAGCGTGACGATCCCCCTGCACCTCCTTGTTCTGGGCTGCCCCTGCACCCCGTCTTTCTACTCACTGACTCTTTCTTTCCTCCGCAGCTCTTCCCCGCGGTGCTGCGCGCCATGAAGGGCCGAGCCGCCCGGCACTGCCTGACCCAGGAGCTGAACCTGCACGTGCAGCAGAACCGGGCAGTGCTGGACCACCAGCAGTTCGACTTCATCATCCGCATGATGAACTGCTGCCTGCAGGTGCGAGAGGGGTGGGAACAGCCTGGCTCTCGGGAAGGAGCTCGTCTCCCGTCGTGGGATACGGGATGGGAGCAGGGCTGGG